GAGGAGAACAATCTAAATATGTTCAATACATATCCACTTATGTGCTTGCTTTGGCGTGTATGTCTAGCCTTCTGTTGTAGATATCAGAGCCTAAGCTTTGGATTACTGAAAGTCAAGTATACTCTAGGCGTATGTCTATAAACTTGTTTGGCATTAATTAAGAGAAAGGTGTTAAGACAAAAATATAATGGGTAGAGCGAGTAAGGCTCTAAAACGAGAGTATACATGATTTCCTAAGCATACTTAATGATACTTTACTTGTTGTAGGCTGTCTAAAAATCACAATAGATAGTTAATCCCCCATCAAACACCGATGATGGAAGTTACAATATGACGACTTTCAGAAGGCTACAATTTGAGGACTTTCACGTAGAAGGTTACAATCTGACGACCTTCACAACAACTAATGAAAGCCCCAATTCAACAGCCTTCACAATCAACATCGGGAGTTACAATCTGACGACTCTCGTATTTTCAAGGAGCCAAGACGAAGATTACAAGAGGACGATCTGTGCAAAGCTCTAGCAAAAGAGACTACAAATTGACAGTCTCTTCATATTAGAACGCAGATATCTCTCAAACCGTAAGGAATTTGGCGAAATGGAGGAATCGAACCGAAGCCTTTGGCTTGATTCGGATGGCCCCGTCTCGTCGAGATAGCCGATTTACATATATAATTCGTCCAATTCCGACTTACGATTCGAAAGTTATGACCTGTTCTTCGCAGCAAATTATATTCTGAAGTCCGTCTACAAGACCGGACTTCGTCAGAACATTGGACTTAGCTTGAAGCTCGCCAAGCCCGCCTATGATTCGCCTCTGCATTACAGAGTCAAAACGCACAGGTGGAACCAGCGTTATAACCTCAAAACGCAGAGGTTATCCTTGTGATATAACATCAAAACGCAGAGTTACGGCCCAACTCTGCGTTTTCAGCCTAAAACGCAGAGTTCACCTCTAAAACGACCCAACGGTGCGTTTTCAGCCTTTAAATAGGCTCAACTCTGTGTTTTCAACCTAAAACGCAGAGTTCACCTCTAAAAACGGCCCAACGGTGCATTTTCAGCCTTAAAATAGGCTCAACTCTGCGTTTTCAGCCTAAAACGCAGAGTTCATCTCTAAAACAGCACGATCTGTGCGTTTTTAGCCTTTAAATAGGCCCAACTCTACGTTTTCAGCCTAAAACGCAGAGTTCATCTCTTAAACAGCACAATCTGTGCGTTTTCAGCCTTTAAACAGGCCCAACTCTGCGTTTTCAGCCTAAAACGCAGAGTTTATATCTAAAACAGCACGACCTGTGCGTTTTTAGCCTTTAAACAGGCCTAACTGTGCGTTTTCAGGCCTAACTCTGCGTTTCAGGTCCAGAAACGCACAGTTCGAGCCCAGAACGCTGTTTTCAGCGTTTTGACTCGTTCAAAGCACTAACAGAACGGTTTCAAAACCGTTTTCCCCACGATTTAGGGAACTGTTTAAGAGGGGGCGGTTACACCCCCACTCAGCCCATTGAGGAGCAGATTAAGGGGATAGTTACCACCCTTAATCCCCTATAAATAGTGGGAAACTCAACTGAGTTCGGGGCTTTTTTTTGGCTGACTTTTTGGGGATCCTTGATCGGGCATATTTGAGCTTTCTGCAGCAACAGAGAGCTTTGGAGATCAGCGACTTGAAGGAGCTCTTGAATCATTTTGGAAGGCTTTTATTGAAGCCTTTGAAATTATTCGGCCTTGGCTTATAACCGACTTTCGGTTCAAATTAACTCTTTTTCAAGAGTTCAAATTCGTTCAGAGTTATCAACTCGATCAGAGTTCAAAACTTGCTTTGCAAGTTCTTCTAAAACTCGTTAGAGTTATCAACTCAATCAGAGTTCAAAACTTGTTCTGCAAGTTCTTCTAAAACTCGTTCAGAGTTATCAACTCGTTAAGAGTTATTTTCAAACTTGCCACGCAAGTTCTCCACAGCGTCAAATCGTGAGGAGAAGACGTCGTTCCAGTGAATCAAGACGTTCGGATCGTCAACGGAGAGCAAACTCGACGCGAGCATTCGAGGGAGGCACTCCATCGCCACCGTGAAGAACCCAGTTTTAAACAAAGGGGAGAATTAAATTCATTCTCCTCTCTTTTGTAATCGGAATCCAAATTGTAATTGATTTTGAGAGAAATACAAGTCAATTTTTCTTTCATTGTCTTTTTACTGCAAATTTTCCAACAAACACTTGTCATCCAATATTTATGACTGAACTAACCTAATAATTCAAATCTTCTTAGGTAATTAACTCTGTGTTTAATAAGAGTTCAAATAAACAACTAACCAAAAATAAAATAGAGAGTTCAAATAAACATGGACCTCTCCGAGATTTTGAAATGTACTCTCTCAATATATCATAACTATTACTTAGTAAAGCTTCTTCACAATTTCTACGACTAATCCTATTATCATTAATATACATGTATATAGTAAAGAGCAATTTGTATGTACATTTACAAAGATCTTTATCTATGTACGTCTTCCAATTCAAGCATCGTACCAAGTCTAATGAAGGCTGGACTATCATCCAGCCTAAAAGATTCTCATTTTCTTTCCTTTTTGCATATACATAAATCTATGCAACAAGATTAATCAAGTCCCAAAAAAAAATCGTAAACAAAAGAAGTAACAATCATATCTAAGTATACAATCCGATATCCTGTAAACTTACCTGAGAATTGGATGAATTGAACAAGAATAAATTATATATGATTCATCTATAAAAAATAGTCTGTGAATTATATGAAAAATAATAACACGACGAGAATAAATTATTTCTCTACTTATTGTTGTCTCGCTCACTCAATTGCACTAAACAATAAATTTAGTTCCCAACATAAAAAAAATGGTGAGCCAAAGGCCCGATCAGTTAAAAAAAATAAAAAATGGTTGAATAGTACCAACAGACCAGTTTGGAATATAAACCTAAAGATAAAGATCAATTTTCCTTAGCAAAATAACAAAAGGGAAAAGGAAATTAAGTAAAATACCTTGCTATATGTGTTCTCCCATCAACTCAAATATGGAAAGCTGCCTGAACTACATAAATTAGAAAAGAATAATTTCAAAAATATTACATTCAATCAAAACTAATTGTGAGGGGCAAAAATTGAGAAAGAAATAAAAGAAAATAAAGGATTGATACTTACACTCAAGACATAAAGTCACCTTTCCGCATAAAAATCCAACCAAATGTGTCTTTTATATAACAAATAAGTAGTTGTAAACTTTATATTTCCATTTATTGCAAATTGAAAGAGACGGGGAGTTATACGACCATTGAAATTAGTGGCAAAATGTAAGGAGAGGGCGAAAAATCAGATATTTATTGAAAATTGCATGACGCTTCACAGGTCAAGAGATGATTTCATAACTGTGTATACTGCAGTGAATTTGTAATAATGGAGGGTTATTCAAATCATACACATCGTTCATCTCAAGAAATGAAGGTTTTGGATGTGAAACCTTTGAGAACTATAGCTCCAATGCGCCCTTCATCACTTGGGCTCGATTCATATGCTCCTCCTTCTACTGGAGATTCTCCCTTTGTTTTTGTGACACGGCCTCTAGTTCCTTTGCTTCTGCGTCTGACTCTCTCTTTCGTCCAAACTTCGTCCCGTTATTTCCAAACTTAGCTTCTCCACAACCTTCAAAACAAAAACCAGTTTTTGCAACCCCACTGAACAGCAGGAGCGCTAACGGTTCGGCATCAACGTCGGGCCGGAAATCTAAAGTTGGTAGTTCTGATGCGAAGAGCACAGGTGAAAAGAAGGAGAAACCACCGAAGAAACCTAGGAAAGTATATGAACGACATGACACAGGGGGCCTGCTCCCTTCTTCTCATGATGCGAGGGAGTCGGTGGAGGTGATCCTTATGACATTTGATGCTCTTCGTAGAA